CGTTATCGTTGTAGTCGTTGCCGTTTTGGTCGCCGTTTTGATAGTCGTTATGATCGTAATAGATGTACCTAGTCGTTGTTACCCGTAATTTTGTCTAATATCGTTAACACATATCGCCAATGGCTGGCTGCATTTTGGGCTTTATCAGGCCTGCAAACACATTAGAGCACGGCATATGTACGGCCGACACGTTGCACCAGGCAGTGCCCCAAAAATATCGACGTTCATGGCTACCTGGTTTGTGTGTGCGATGGAGCCAGCAAGGCAGTCGCGGACAAATCAATATCCTATTAAATCGCCAGCCTCCCCTGCTCTTATTAAATTACACCTGCACTATTCACACACGTTTTTAATATACCAGCTTTCTCAAACATATGTACAACAACTCTTTTTAAGAGCCTTTTGTTTCTCACTCGATTATCGAAACGGCATGTTTTTCACCCGATTCCAGCCTAAAAACACAACAGAAAACAGTGACGAGTAGTATTCCACCTTAGAATGAGAACAACAAGAAGTTTTACTACGAACATAGCGCCCCCTCGTACACTGTTCTATTAGCTACAATGTTGTAGATCTACCGATTAAGAAATTATAGTTTTCTCTTTTATCGACTATTTTAAATATATAATGTTTCTATATATTATATGTATATATATATTTCCAGAGATATTTTTACTATATTATTATGCTCATAATTTAATTAATATACATATATATATATATGATTTATGCTATTTCTTGCATTTATATGTTATGTACATCTTTTTTCTTGCAACTTCTCTGCTTTTCCTATTTTTCTTTCATATTTATGTTGTTGAAATTTATATTTCACCTTCTATGACACTTTTTGATTATTAAACAACATTTAGTAAATCATATCATCAAAATAATTGTAATTAATATCTCTTTATTACCACATATTATGATTTAACTAATATTTCCTCGTATGGTATTATACTTAATGCTATTAATATATTATAGAAGACTAATATATCGCAAAATAAATTGAGCAACTTTACTTTCTAATAAGAGCGCTTCTTGACTGTTTTGTATAATAAAAAATAATAATAATGATTTTATACCGACATAATATTCAATAATATTCGACTCACTATATTTTATTTATCTATGGTTTCGATTAAGCATGCGCGTATAATGTGTGCAATATCTTTTTGTGTTGATCACGTTGGTTAATGTCTAGATCATAGATCTTATGTTATTTGATGCTAAATAATGCTTATAGTTACATGTAATTACAATTTAATCAATATGTAATAATTTATATTAAAGTTAGAAACTTAATTTTTTAGTTGAAACATCTAAATGATGTAGTAAAGTAAAAAGTCTGTATTATAAACACAAATTGTTTACTTCAACTTAAATTTTTGAATTGCATTAGTTTATGCAAAATTAGTTTAAAGCTGTATTTCAATATTAGAGTATATATACTTTTAATATAATTAATACTACAATTTAAATAATGTAATTTGAATTGAATATGGATAAATATGTATAATGCAATAACAATGAATAACCAGTGGAAAAAATATCTGTTTTGGTTTGCCCAAGAACACATTGATTTTCGTACAGCTGTAAGTAATTTTTTATTTAATTTAATTTTTACCTATTTGTTCTATAAAATTTTTACACTTCATCTTTTTAGGAAATGCAATCTATTCTTGGTATGTTTGGTGTAAATATTTATACTCATTCTAAATTAAACACACATGTAAGAAAATACATTTATTTTGTTAATATAATATAATATAATATTTAATACATTTGTCTATGCAATAAATGATTTTTTTATAGCCTTATTGGATAGTTAATTTACCTTCAGAAACTCTGGCACATAAAATTGCAAGCAGAGCAGTCTGTGTGCGATTTTGTTTAGAGTTGTGGGCTAATAGTAAACAAGTTGAAAATTTGCATAACAAGTTAAAAACTTATCCAATTTCAGAAATTAATAAATATGCTGGTCCACACAAATCTTTTAAAGTAATAGTTGAAACATTTTGTAAACATTTTTCTCAAGGTGAAAAAGTAAATAAAATTGATGTAAGTACATAACTTATAAATTTGTAAACTGAAATTATGTAAAATTTTGATATTAATCTAACTTTGTAATAAATAGTCTTTCAGTTATTTACCATTGCAAGGACCAGTAAGACTAAATAATCCAGACACAACATTGTGTTATGTAGAATTTTATGGATTAGATCCTAATAACATCCCTAAAGAACCATATGAATTATTTTTTGGTAGATGGGTATGCATAATTATATTGTACCGTTACATCAGTCTATTACATATATATTACATTTTATAATGAAATTTTAGATTACAAGTGGACAGAGGGATTTAATTCGAAAGTTATCGCTGAAAACCAGAAAATTTATTGGTAATACATCTATGGATCCTCAACTGTCATTAATAATGGCTAATCAAGCTCAAGTTCAAAAGGGAGACATCGTGCTCGATCCATTTGTTGGTACTGGATCTTTATTAGTTGCTGCTTCTCATTTTGGAGGATATACATTGGGAACAGATATAGATTTTTTAATGCTGCATGGGCGTACAAGGCCTAGTAGGATATCACAAAAGGTAAAGAATTTATTTGCTTACACTAAATGATGTTATTAAATTATTATTAAGATAATGACCAGATTAGGGAAAAAGATGAAAATATTGCTACAAATATGAGTCAATATGGAAAAAGATCATACTATATTGATGTAGTTGTATCAGATTTTTCTTATCCTTTATGGCGTTCTGACATGTGTATAGATGCTATAATAACAGACCGTAAGTATCAACTCTTTTCATTAACTTATAAGTTGTACTGTAAAAGCCTTCATCTCTTTATTAATTATAGCTCCTTATGGTATCAGAGAAGCAACAGAAAGGATAGGTACAACTAAATTAAATCCAGTGATAGAAGAACATCAAGCTTCATCTCATATACCATCTAAAATTGGTTATGATTTACCTCAAATATACAAGGATTTATTAACTTTTGCAGCTCAACATCTTAAATTAAATGGTAGATTAGTATGTTGGTTTCCTTTATTTAGGTAAGTCACAGGTTATAAAAAGTTGTTTATCGACATTACAATATTTATTTTTATAGAATGAAGTATAAAATACTACTTTTATAGAGATCAATATTCAGAGGATCAGTTACCAACACATCCATGTTTGGAATTAGTAGCTAATTCAGAACAAGTACTTAGTAATTATACTAGTCGGAGGTTATTGACTTATAAAAAGGTAAAAGATCCAAAGGTATGTGTCAAAATATATATTATACAACTATTAGTTAAAAAAATGTTAAAAGTAATTTGATCAAAATTCTGAAATTTTTCTTTCAGGAATCAGATGAAATAATTTCTACCAATTTAATCGACTTCCGCGAACAATATTTTGCATTACGAAATGAAAGTAGAAGGGAAAAACGAATGAAGAAAGCTGTAGAAAAAGCAAAGAAAAGAGAACTTTGGGAACAGAATAATAAAGAAAATCCAAAAAGATGACTATAATTATTTTACGTGTAACAAACATTTATTTTCCTTCAAATTCGTGTTTGAGAATATAAATTTTGTTAAACTGTTATTTTTTATGGCCATATGTGCATTTTAAAGAATAAAGCAGGACATGTGCAGGAAAATATTCATAACAAGAAAAATTCTGAACCATCAATAAAGTCATTTTCTAACATTTTCTAGAGATTATGAGAAGAACAAGGAACTTTCTTCATTTAGTTCTATAATCTTTTTACTAAATGATCTTAAGAATTATTTAAATAAGGTAAATAATACTTTACTGTATTTTGGATAGTAAATATCTTAATATACATTCGCAAATTTACTTGACATACTAAAAAACTATTTATGTCAAAAGATTTGTATCAAATAATAAATTATATATGTGTGTAAATTGTAAGGAATGAACAGTACATTTACATATATTACAGTAACATACATACATATAAATTTGTATACTTAAACTTCTAGTTGCAACTGACCTAATAATCCTTCAAGTGTTTTAATATTTTCATCTGACACTTTTGATTCATATTGCTTTTCAATTTGATTAGCTGCCCATTCACTTAATTTTATTGCATCTTTCTTTTTAGAAGAGGGACATTTAGGTGATGTGGCAATATTATTGGTTGCCTAAAAATTTAAGCTTATAGTAAAAGTTTAACACTACATGTTTTTTTTCTAATTTTGATTCTTACCAACAGTAAACCATACAAAGCTCTGATATTATTTGGATTTAATCTTGCAGCTTGACAAAAGTATGCTTTTGCTAATTCCATGTTTTCAAATCCACCCTAATAACAAGTAAAAATTTATTATTTCAGTGAAAGTTTTGAGGTCTCAGGTATTGTTACATAAAAAATATTTATTACCTGAGAATATTTTATTTCTGCATATCTCTGATAAATTAAATGACTATGTGGATTATGTAATATAAGTTCTTCCATACAAAATGCAGCCTTGGAATATTCTTGTTCTTGTAAATATAGATCACATAATTCATGCCATGCCTCTTGATCACTCATAAATCTGTAATACATGAAGGATATAAAATCTATGATTAATACAATAAGTTAAAAACTTAAAACGTCAAAAAAATTTCAACTAAACACTAACTTTTTTAAATATTCTGTAAGTTCTTTAATAGCTTCTGATATTCGACCTTTCGCTTTTAATATAGCTATACGTCTTTTTCTTGGTGCTGCATTTGTTTCGTCTCTTTTTATAATAGAATCCAAAACTTCTAATGCTTCATCATACCTACAAATAATTAACTTCTTTTATATGGCATAGAAATATGCAACAAATAATCATTGTTTCATAAATAATTGTTACATTTCCAAAGCTTCCAGATGCATAGCATGATATTTATGGACTCTTAAACTGCTAGGAAATTCTCTTTTCAATATTTTAATGCAATATTCTGCTAAAGAATGACGATCACAATCCAATGCGGCTATGCAGACTTGTTCCAAAACCAGATACTCTATTTAAAAGTTACAAATTATTGTAGAAAGTTAACACCATTTTAAAAATATCTTACAAAAAATTACTTCATCTTACTTTCATTGCCAAGTTGATCAATTTTTGCCATTAATTTAGACTCCCACAGATCAACTACATCTTTACTTCGCCGTTCACTATCTTCTCTCCATGTTCTGAACATGTCTCGTACTTCTACATATATAAAAAACATATATAAAAGTTTAATAATTACATTGAAATATTAATAAATTAAAATTCAAAAGTTATAGATGATTAAACTATGTTCTTTATTAACTTACCTTTCCATGATAATTTATCATACTGATCAGCCATAGTTGGTCTTAAAAAAAATAATGTCATAAATAATATATAATAGATTTGTGCATAGAGTGCATGAAATAATATTCTATACATGAAACAACTATAATTATGTACAAATATAAAAGAAGATATAAAGTTAATTAATCAAATACTAAAAAAATTACAACTTTACATAATTCTGAATATTTTTATGATAACAACCATTCCTTAATATTATAAATTTCATACAAGTATACATAATATTATAATATATAAATATATATGTGTGAATTTGTAAATACATTGCTTATTATAACCTATTCATTATAACCTAAATAAGTAAAAGACTAGATATCAAAAAATATATGTTAAATATATATAAATAACACAGAAAGAAATATTAACACAAATTAAAAAAGATATTAAAACAAATATGTACTTATATGTTAACAGTTACTAATTATAACACACTTGGGACAAATTTATTATTACAGTGTAATAATTCGTGCAGTAGAATCTCAGGATATAAAGTATTATAGGTATTTCAAACTTACGTAGAAGTAATTGCAATAATAAAAACAAGTTTATAATAAAGTATTGACTCAAATCAATGTACACGTAGCCTTAAATTAAATCGATCATGTACATATGTTACACAGGTCGATCAGGAATCAAAAAGTAATTCAAGGCTATATATGCAAAATTATTCAGTAAGATATTTGAAGTACGTCATTTTCTTAAATTATAAAATAAGTGAAAAGTATAAAAAATAATATATAGTTTACAGCATATTACAAAAATACATACATTTTTATTATCATCATTGTTTCTAGTTTTTGCTATTATATTATCATATTAAAGTAGTGACATTAAATTGATATAGCAAATAACTGGAAATATTGTTTTTTAAATAAATAAAAATAATATTAAAAAAACACAAAATGCTGTGTTTAATATATTAATTATGTCTATTCTTTATGAAATGTAAAATTATCAACAGATTAACAAATCATTTGTTTTTCAATAGAAATTTAATGATTAATGTTATGTACATATTTGATAAATGCGACAAGAAAATAATTTTAAATCTGTTAAAACTATATTTCATTTAGTTTTTAAGTATTCTGATTACATTTCATTACTTTTTTCTCACAGCTGATTTGATAACATATACTTCAAAAATATCACATTTTGACATTCATGTGTCGATTAAGTCCATTTTATTCGCGGAAAATTTTTTACTAATGGTTATTCTAAAAAGCATATATATATGAATAAGAAGAAAATAATTTCATTCGAACGTATAAGATCAATTTTTTAACTCTGCAATTAAGATCGGTATCAGTTTAATCCGTATAGTTCTATACGATAAAATAGGGAACGTGTCAGAGACGCTTGGACGCCATGATGGTAGGTGGAACCTGTTATCATTTATCCACCGATCTACTTTCCCAGCGAATCCTAATACTGTGCAGTTTAAGCTTTACTTTATTGTAAATATTTAGTATACAGTTCTTAATTTAAAAAAATGTTTCAGGACGGCATATGCGATACTGCTGACATTTTAAATAATGTTCCTCCTAAAAAGGTATTTACGCTAGTTTCCTGTTATTTCTTTTTTTATTATGTAAAATAACACTGATTAGAAAATTAATGTTTTTTCATGCCTGAAACTACCGTTTATATCTGATAATTTAATTGTTCTAATTTTGGCAATTTTTATTTACAGACAATTCATACTGACAATGTAGATCTTTCTGATAAGTCATTACAGGTGGATATTTCAGATGCTCTTAGTGAAAAGGATAAAGTAAAATTCACTGTACATACAACAACTACATTACCAGAATTTCAAAAACCAGATAACTTAGTTGTAAGGCAACATGAAGAATTTGTATGGTTACATGACCGATTCGAGGAGAATGAAGAATATGCTGGTTATATTGTATGTTTATTTATTTTTTGACCTATATTAAATATATAATTATAATTTTAAATAATGAACAGAAAAAATATGTATCTTTAGATTCCTCCTTGTCCACCACGACCAGATTTTGATGCATCTCGTGAAAAGTTACAAAAACTTGGGGAGGGTGAGGGTAACATGACACGTGAGGAATTTAATAAAATGAAACAAGAATTGGAGGCGTAAGTTATATATACAAATATTAAAATATATTTCAATCATAATGACCCAAAACTATAAATTTATATACTGATATTTTTACAGTGAATACTTGGCAACGTTTAAAAAAACTGTTGCTATGCATGAAATGTTTTTGACTAGATTAGCACATCATCCAGTTTTTCGTAATGATCATAATTTAAGAGTGTTTTTGGAATATGATCAAGATCTTTGTGTGAGAGGTAAAATTTATATTAATTCCTTAAGGAAGATTCTGCATTTTCTTATTGTCTGTAATATGAATAAAAGGTATAAATATTTTATTTTTCTAGGGAAAAATAAAATGGAAATGTTTGGAGGTTTGGTAAAATCATTTTCCACTACTACAGATGAATACTATTTGTCTGCAACAGTAAAAGATGTAAACGATTTCTTTGATCAAGAAATGTCGTTTTTACAAACCTATCATCATAATTTAAAAGAAGCAACAGCTCGTGCAGATCGGCAAACTGCCAAACATAAAGATGTAGCAGATTCATATATTAAAATTTCTACAAATCTTTTGCAATTAGCTACAACTGATAATGGTAAATTAGAAAGATTTTTAACAAAAATAGCAGAGATGTTTGAGAAATTAAGGGTAAGATTTTTCAATTTAACTAATTTAATTTATTTCTTCATATTATTTATATTTGTAATGTTACAATGTAATAGAAAGTAGAGGGACGGGTAGCATCTGATGAAGATTTAAAATTATCAGACACTCTACGTTACTACATGAGGGATACAGCTGCAGCTAAACGGCTTTTGTTTAGAAGATTGAAAGCTCTACATGCGTACGAATCTGCAAACCGTGCTCTAGAGAAAGCTCGTGCCAAAAACAAAGATGTTCATGCTGTATGTATATTACTTGAGACGTTTCTATTATTGTAGTATTTGTAACAAACAGGTTACTTCAATTACTAAATATAGTATATATATGTATATGTATATGTATATATTGTATATATTGTATATCTAACTAAAGATTTCATCTTTTTGCTCATCAAGGCAGTGGAGGTTGCTGAGGTGTGTTTTTCTCCATTTGTATGTTTGCCGCCTTGTTGTAGTATAATCCTAATATCATTTTTTGTTTTAAAGGATATATACTTTTTATCTTATAGATTGTATTACTTTTATAAACAATATATACGAACATTTTCGTAGAATTAATATAGTTACTATGTGTTGGAGAAAAAGGAAGAGATTGAAATTAGTGTGAATATATTTTAGATTATTATTTAATTAAACATGCATGAAATAAATTTGCACGAACATTTCTTTCTTGCATTGATATTATTTAGTCTCGAATAAAAAGTAAAAATATTATAAAATATTACAATAAAACAAATAATAAAAAAAATAATTTTGGAAGGTCATATTTTACTAATAAAATTGTGAAAAATACACGTTATTTTAAAATAATATAATTATTCGAAATATTGCATGTGTTTTTTGCCAAGCATAATTGTTAAAAAAGAATTACGAAAGTTCTTAAAATTGGTAGTATTATGTATTTTTGTGGAATTTATAATTATCTTTGGATATTGTTAATTTAGGCAGAACAAGCTCAAACAGAAGCCTGTGAAAAATTTGAGCAAATGTCAGAAAAGGGAAAAGAAGGTAAAGAATGACGCTTTATTTTATGTAATAAACTATCACAATGATTTAAATAATGTATTAATTTCCGTTATAGAATTAGTGGATTTCAAAACGAGGAGGGTAACTGCTTTTAGAAAGAATCTTATTGAATTAACTGAACTTGAAATAAAACATGCAAAAGTAAGAATGCTTTTATTCTGTCCAAATATATAGTTGCTCATTGTTTTAAAAATATTTCTATTTTTGTTTATAGGCACACGCGGAATTGCTCAAAAAATGTTTAACTGTTTTACGAGAAGAGTGATCCAATTTTATAATTCTCATTGCAAAGATTACCGCGTAATCTATATGAAGATAATCTATTTAAAATTATAGCAATGTAATGGTATTGTAAAATATATATTTTTTGTTATCTAGATTTATATTATCTAAAAAAAAGAATCGTATTATTAATTACAAAAGAGCTCCATATGACATTAATTTGTATTGTGTGTTGTTTAATATTTCTAAGTTATAAAAAATTATGTATACGTTATAATCGTCACTTAAATAGCAATTATTTTTTTCTTATATCGTTTTTTTCAGTTTCATACAGAATAATGTAATCAAGATATTGGTTCTTGTCAAGTTCTTTTACAGATTTATATTGATCTAATATAAGCTATAAGATTTCTTTCCATTCTATATACTAGTGTATTTTAATGGAACAGGAAGTAAGTGATGATTAGGAAGTGGTCATAAGGAAATAAGAGATTCGTGATATAAAAATAAGATAACTTAGCACTACGTGTGTATTTAAAACAAAATACTTGCAAGAAATTGAACATTTTATAAAACTCATAAAATATATTTAATATAAAACAAATATTAAACAAATACTGGAATATGTATATACAAAATGTTGAAAAACTAAATACTGTAGGAAACACTATAATGCAACTTATTGCAATTATATTGATGTTATATATATTTTGGTTTTATTATTAATTATTAAGAATATTAATTAAGATATACAAATACTAAAAAAATCATGTTTTTATTTAAAGAATCTTTTATTTCCAAAATTCATTACATTCTATGATACCTCCTGTATACAACGATTCTATGTATGCAAGCATGTGCATATAATTAACAACTCGTTTGAAAAGAAATTCGGAACTTAAAAAAAAATATCGATTGTTCATTTATTTAAATGCTATAAAGTGAAATTTCTAGCAGTAATACAAATGTTATTTTAAATGATCTTATTTTTCAATATTTTTTAAGTTAATCAAAAGATGAATATAAATTAGCATATGCAGTGAATATTTCAGATTTTTATATGTAGATTAACATGTTGCATACTGTTAAATCAATTTACAATATTTTGTTTATTCAATAAAATTACATAAATATAATCATGAGTAATGGGATAAGAGTAAAGGGACCTTAAAATTAGATAATTATATGTGATCTGATTATGCGTTTAATAATAGAATTATCGAAGTTTGCCAAAGATAAAAATTGAAAGAAAATAAAAATATTTTAAAAAACTAAAGCAAATATGTAGGCAATGATTTATGTTTTTATTGATTTGAAATATTTTCGTTGCTCTTATACACGATTGCAAACATTTACTGAGAGAATCATTAAATAGAATTTATTACTTAAGTTCTTAAAAACTAATTTGAAGTATCGCCATAGTGACCTATATATCATGCTAATTTAGTGTTAAAACAAATCATATATCCTAAAATTTGTAGAACAATTAGATTATTGACCACTTTCAAATTTGTTTATCATGCTATAATGATTTCATCTCGGGTTACCATACATACATCATAAGACAGATTTTACAAACACTTTGTTAAAATAATCACGTATTTTAATATATCCACTTTTTATATTTCATTAAAAAAAACTGATAGCGATCCATGTCTAATAAATATTTTACAGAATGTATTTATTGTTATACATCAAATATTTATGGGATAGTAATATTGAATTTTACTGAAAAGATTTGCATCAACGAATGATAGATGAATCTACGCTTTTTATTAGATTTTTTACTTTTTTATGATACAATGTTCGTTAATTTTAAAGGGTACAGAAAAATTTATTTGTTAGCGATGGTCACTAAATAAAAAAAGGTCGAAATAGTTAAAAATTATTGATTTAACACTGCTCTGCCTTTGATTTCGTATTTCTAATGGAATTCTAAAAACTCAAATTTCTAGTTCATATCATGTGATGTATGAAAATTAAGAATTATGTATACTGTATATATAAGTATACTCCAATGTTCAATTTTGTAATAAATCTAAAAATACTTTTTGAAATGCTCAATTTTTATTCAATATATCTGTTTCCATCACAATTTTTTAATCTTTTTTGAGTATTCTTAAGATTTTCTTTAATTTGAAAAATTTTTTAACAGCCATATATTTTAACTTTTTCCATCCAACATGATTATTAGATCTCCATTTGTGATGTTTTGATGTTACTATCTTTTTTTTTTTTTAAATTTTATTGACAGATTGTATTCTTTATCACTTTGTTAATATTGTTAGAGTTAATGAAAGAAACTTTCATCTTGTTATTGTTCAATTTAACTGAATACTTTTGATTCGTAGTATATTGCCGATATAATTATACTTCTTGCTTTCAATATAACTATTTTTATACCGATCGATTAAAAAAAGAATGCTTAATCAAATATCTTACGACTGGTTAAAATATTAAGTTACTCGAATATTTCGATGACAGATTCGTTCTACTATTATTATGTGTTTAAAAAGATGTTTTATATTTTATTACAATTGTGCTACTTCGACATAAATAATACAAAAAGGTATCTCATTTAATATTACCATCGGAAGTAACTTATTCATTTTTCGTTGTACTGCACCTTTTTTTTCACCGGAAAGTTGAAAAGTATTATGACGAAGAGCTTTCTGAATCATTGTTGCTATTTTTAAATTGTCGAACATTTACGTGCTGCAACGTGAGATATTTTTTATTTTATGACATTTCAATAATAAAAAAATATAATAAGAGAGGTAAAGAAATTAGTAAAAGAAAAAAACAAAGGATAATATTGTATGATATAATATGGAATACTTATTCGAATACAAAACCTTATATGATTGAACTTTCCTTTCAACATTCTCTTCATTTCTCTACAACGCAAGTTTAATTAATTTCTTCGAATACTGAACTCAAGTAATGTACCACGAATAATGAGAAAATACTATCGTACCAGTGTATCTTTGGATAAAGAAGAAATCATGAGCTCACCTTTTCTTCTCCAGAAGGATAATACAAATGTTCTTAACCAGAAATGTCCTGGTGTTCCCTTGAAGTGGAAGAGAAAGGGTTCCAAATGTGATGCAAGTGTTCTTAACCAGTAATGTCCTGGCGTTCCCCTGAGGTGGAAGAAATAGGGTTCCAAATGGGATGCAGGGATAATGGTACAATTTAAACATAGAATCTCTACCCGTTATATTTTATCAATCCATTGCCGACAACCTAGAAAGGACAATTAAAGTTCGATCAATGTCGTTGAATCGTTCTCTTTCATTTTTCTTTTTCTGCGAGTGTCTTGAATCAAGACAGAGGCGATCGTCGTGAATTGAATTGGTTGAAGGGATCCGGGATCTTAAGAGAAAGTTAAGAACTCCTGCGCCAATGAACGCCGCAGAATACATCGGCTAAGGATTCTGCAACTTTATTCAGGTTCGTTGAGATCTCTCTTGAACGAACTCGTCTTCGGTGGTTCGCCAGATCACAAGGAAAGTCATTGAATATCGACGGATCGTTCTTTTTCTTTGGTATTTTTCGTTTGGCGATGAACGTCAAAGGGAAGTAAAGCCGTCAGGAAAACGTGCAGCGTCTTCCGTATTGATTTACGAATGAACTGAACGGTCCCTCCGTGAAAAAGAAACGCTTTCCTATAAGTTTATTGATCGGCTTTACTTTGGTTTGACACGATCGAATGAAACCGTTTCGTACACTTTTCCCTATGGTTTTAGCGTCGTCGCGAGGAAATTTCTTCTTTCTGAATGATTCTGATAGTTTGGAGACGGTTTACCACAGTTGCTTATTGCCATATACTCGTATTTGATAATCGATCATAAGAAAATTAGTAGGTATTGGCCTATGTATTCGATACGTATCATCTCTCATGCGTACGTTGTACCCTTGAGATGCAGGTCAATTTTGATGATAAAGTTATTAATCGACGATCAATTTCTTCTTTTATCTAATTATTCTTTTCACATTCGATGATCTTCTTACGTTTCATAATATATTTATATATTTATATTTATATATTTATATTTATATATATATATATTTATATATTATATATACGTATATGTTCCGCTTGTACACGTAAATTTTTCTTTGATCGTGAACCATCTACAAACGAGCTGTATCTGTTTTATAATTAGGACGACGTAGTTGGTCTTTTATAATAATCAGACTTATATTACACGCATGCAACCACGCACGCACGAACACGCACGTGTAGACTTCGGTAATTTATTACGGAACTAAAAGATATTGTCATCGAGACCTTAACGAAGACAATTGCTACGGTGGTTCAGAGATATACTTCTATATTTCTTTCATTTTCTTCTCATATTCTATTTCTTTCGTCTCTCTTTCCCTTCTCCCTCCTTCAAGATTTCTATCGTTCCGGTTTATGAAAATTCGACAGAGCATAATACAGAGACACTAAAGAGGCGGTATTTTATATTGTGGATTTTATTAAAATTCAGTTTCAACGGATTTGCGGATAAATGTTCGAAATAAAAGGACACAAAGATTCGTAAGAAGGCGGGCGAACGTTAAGCAACGTACGAAATTTTCTTTCCTTTTTTTGTCTTTTCATTCACCATGTGTTTGTATGTGTGTGTGTATACGTGTGTCGGTGTTTCGATTTACGCAAACGCCTATCTTAATTAAAAAAAAAAAGAAAAAAAGGAACGAATCGAATGATACTCAATTACCGATAACGTGTCGATTTCCTTCCATTTTCATACAACAAACTTAATTTATAAAAACATTATACGAAGTTGTATACAGTGTGACGCTGAAGTACACAGAGATTTTCTATGGCAGATACACTATCGATGTTTTGAGATGTACACGCAGAACGCGTAAAATTGCGATCGAATTGTTTTCGAGTATTAAAGTCTTATCGTTTATTATCCTACTGATCTTATGTTTCTATTAAACTTGTTGCTTACTTCGAAAGAGATCAAGATAATATTTTTTTCGCTCTCTCTTTCTCTCGCACTTGTATTGTATTTCGTTTATCCTCTAGAAGATTCAGACAAAACTGTATCGAAGAATGTTCTCAAAGACTTATCGTTCCTTCGATTATTCATTTTCTTCATTTTTTTTTTTAACGCATACAATATCGTTTCTCTTCTTTAGTTTAGCCTAGCTTCATAAATCGTGATCCGAGTTATTAAATAGTTACGATCGACTAGCTTCTGAGGTCTCTCTTATACTTCAATATTGCGTGAACGATGTGTTCGAAGTTGAATGGGATTTTTTTAAATCATAAAAGATGAAATGGAAAAGTTTCTCGGGGAAAGGCATCGTTCTGCAAATAATTTTTACGACGATGGATACACAATGTGAAAGCAAGGAAACGAATGAATGAATCGATCGAATCGAGAGTTCGTGTGTCCTGGCTTCTTTTATTATGCTTTCTTCCCTTAGTCCCCGTTCATCCTCTATGTTTCTTTATTCAATCGATAGCGGTGTCACGCGATACGCACGCGATCCTGCTCACGTGAATCGTTTACTTGGAATAAGAAAACTTCGTTATATATATATATATATGTATTATATATTCAGAGTTTCTAACTAGTACGCAGATTTGTTTCGAACAGTTGTAAAATCGAAATTTATGAAACGTTTCAGCCCGAAGGTCTTGCTACGTCAAACAATATGGCAGTTTCTCGCTTGCCCTGGATTTTATCAAACATCTCCTGTTACATTTCTAGGTATAATACTTGTCGTTTGATCCCTGTTTTTAACCTTTCGTCCGCATTTAAGCTTTTCCATTTACGCGACTTTCTATTTCTTTCCTTCGTCTTTTCTTTTTTTTTTCTCTCTCTTAATTGGGTTTTTATCTTTTCAGAACAATGGCAAGGATTTAGTTTTTCACGATATGTAACGTCGTTCTGTGCTGCTTAAAAATCATTGTCAAATGCAGACGAAATGTTGGTAAGTGTACAACAGTTTCTACTAGGAAGTCGAAAGTTAGTGATAAATCGTGTAAAAAAATCTGTCGAGGTTCTTTTTTCTTTTTATCCTTCGCAATACTTTTCTTTTTATCCAAGGCTTATTTTAAAACGAGGAATAATTAAAAGTATATAGTATTTTGTACAGTTATTCGTGTAGCAGCACCTTAGGATGAGTTGGCATGGAATACTGAATTTTGGCAGTTGCGTTTCAAAACCAAAACGGAAATAGAAACGACGTCGATATGTTGGAAATACCGTATTGATACATTTTACATTCATTGTTTTAAACTCTATATTATTTACCTCGGCTGTTACACTTAGGAATATAACATTATATTCGATCTCGATCGTTCATAAAAATCTCGAGTAAATGTTTGAAAAATAACACAAATTATTCATAAACGATGAAATTTCTTCGATATTTGTCGTGGTAATAACATGTATATGTAGCAACGATATTAATCACAAAGAAGAACGCAAGAAGTACACACATGGAGTATCGATCTCGCGATTACAGGTTGCATGTACGAAACTACAAAAGGTAGGCTAGATTCGCGTCGGATAAAGTGGAATTGAAACGTCCTGAGAGGTGATTAATTACAAGAACGTAGAACGAGAATCGAACCGGAAGGGCCGGAGGTTGTTGAAAGGTATGTAAAGCCCTGCAAATTCGTTGCGACACTCGGTAACACCGTCAATCTCAAACTTTAATTCCCCACCGCCTTTTGATTAATTCGTGTCTGTTGCCGTAATATCTCATCGTCGTTCGTTCAACGAAAGCGGCGCAAAACTTTGTAGAAAACTGCCACGACGTAGAACTGTTGCTCACGACCATCAAACGGATCTATTGTAATTTTTTTAAGAGGATAAACCCGGTACGTAAACCTAACTTGACGCGATCCATGGATCCATATTGCTTTCGAGGAATATCATGACTAATTGATTTTCGTTCCTTTCTTCTTTTTTTTTTTTTACCGAGAAACGATGTGTGCCGCCGGTTTCGAAAAGACTTCGATGGTAAAGTACGCCGTACAAACAATGAAATCTGTAAAACAGTTTATCGCTATATAAAAACTGACACGATCACAGATTTTTGTCTTTTTTTTTTTGTTTTCAAATGTAGTTTAATAACGAATACCTCACGCTGAAAACAAGATTATGATAAACAAGGATAGAGCGTGTTACGAACGTCAACGATATAATTCTATATTTTATAATACGTACTTAAATTTATTGCACTTGATTCGTTCCTTGGAGGATTAACTAAGACAGTGCTTCTGTTCGATACGTATCTCGCGTGACTTTGTATCACGCGTTTCGTTCATCCGTCACGGAGAATTTGACTTTCCGGAACGTTGTCCTCTCGCGGGACGAAAGAATTTGCGTTATTTAAAATTATTTTATACTTCTGCAGAAGGTGACAGACGCAACCAGAAGTTAGGGAATGGACAGGAAGAGAGATAAAAGAGAAAGAGAAAGAGAGAGAAATCGCGATTATTCGCGAGTATTCTTATAATTTCGGTCATGCGTTGGTGAACACATGGACACGATCTACCATGAAAATCTCGTATGTCGAAATGATTCAGCCGGCGGCAACCTCGGCGTTGAAACGGAAAAGAAAAAAATTATCATGAAGAAAAACATGATAAGACTTAACGATTGTTCGATCGCGGCTAATTGAACGTAGTAAAGAAGAAGAAGAAAAGAAAGAGCAAAAGGAAGAAGAAGAAGAAGAAGAAGAAGAAGAAGAAGAAGAGAAACAAAGATGACAATGATGATATATGGAAATAGAGATAACGAGACAAAGGATTAGGAAGGATGAACAAAGAGAGAAATAAAAGATCGCGTGGTACGACGATGTCTTCAGCTTTTAAAAGGGAAAGAAGGAAAGTGTGAATAGAGGGTTAAAATCGCAGAATAGTAGCCTATCTATCACAAACGGAAGTAACGGTATAATAATTATGGACATATCGAAGAGAAACGCTTATCGCGTTAAAACGACCTCTATCGCAATGGTGACAATTAGTACTAGCAATTCACAGAAATTTTTCTCGGCGGCCGACGTCTTGCGGCGCTGTATCGCAGCCATTTTGTCACCTGAAACGTTTAAAGTAACGCAATTAGTGAGAGCATTTGTTTAGAGAGTCGTATTACAATATATCTTCTCTTTAAGAATGAATCGAAATGAAATTTCATTGAAAAAGAAAATTAATTTTACTGCAGATAGCTTGTGCAAGAAAAGTTTCGCAACGAAAAGGCAAATTAATTATTTTGTTTTTACAGAGAAAAAATATTTTTATTGCTTTAAAAATTATACCTTCTGTGACAAAGACATAGATGGATGCCGGCTTGGTATTCGAGGCGCTGCACGTATAATTGCCTGTGTCCGATTCCACCGCATGGTGAATCGTCAGTCGACTTTGAGTCGAGCTGGAATCGGTTTGTACGGTTACGCTGCTGCCTCGCGTAGTATCGTAATTTATCATTCGATTATTGTGATACCAGAAAACATATTGCGGCGGTGTTGGACTCTGAAATGGTGAAAATAAATCTTTACTATAGAACGTTCATCAAAGCATTGTTTTCCCTTGTACGCATTTCTTGAATTTTTTGACGTTCAACGATATACGGTCGACGTACGAACATTTCCTGTCAAATATATTTTATGAACATGCTGATTTAACAATTTTTCGAATAAATGCGCGTATACGCAATTATAAATAGCGTCATTCGTTGTATAATTATTAGAATTTTCTTAATTTGTCACTTTTGGCGCTCTATATAGCCAGATATTTTTCTATATCGTTTTATAAGTTCAAATATAATAATTCGTAGTAATATTTACCTATGAAAATTATTTTTTCTTGGGGATTCTGTCGCACTCGATTGAGCTGTGTAGTACCGTTAGCGAAACTTTATGTCATAAACGATCAGGTATCACCATTAATAAGAACCATTGTACGATATTAAGTTTAATAAAAAAATAAATGAAATTTTACAAGTCGATTTTGCAAATTATAAGTTCCTTGACCGATTTGAAAGAATTGTCAGATTATAAAATTGTAAAGAAGAAACCTGTAATTCACAACTTGCGATTTACTTTACAACTTTGGCTTTTTCATTATAAAGATTGTTAGTCAAACGATCGTTAAATACTAAGAGTAACGTAATTACGTTGTTTAATAATAGTAGTTGCTGTATACTGACAATGTGCTATACGAGACAGCGTCGTGAAACGCATAAGATAGTTTCCATGAATATCTCTGAACTTTACAAAAAAATCTTACTAAAAAGATGATGACAAATCTCCAGCGAACTGTATTTTATATTCCTTCAGTTTTGCGACAATCGAAATGTCATTTTAATGCGTTCTGGAGCGTTTCGTATCGATTCCCGATACCGAGGACCAACAAAAATCTGGTCGTCACCTAGCGTAATTAAGTCTAGCCGAGATAATTGCCAAAACGATCGATGGATGCCGATGCAGCGACATGCAGTTTAGTATTACTTTTTTCCTGGACGCGAATGGGACACGTTTTTCGGCTTTCGTTCTTTGCTCGAAAAGAACAAAAAAGAAGAAACATCGCGTTGGCGTTGCGCGAAACATTTCCGATGCGCGTCTGGTGTCTGAACCGTGCGACATTTACCCCTGTGAAGTGCACGAAGTGAAATAGGACGTCGAAGTCAGCCACTTGTAGCGAATTTCGTGGAACGTGAGTAGACGTCCTTTCCAGTGACTCGATCCCGGCCGCAGCTCGCACGAGAAACGCAAATGGTTTCCCGATTCAACGATTTCGTCGAGACGTTTCAAATCGTTTCGAATTGTTTCGAACGTTCGTCGACCATGTTGACGATGTCTCGACATTATTTCTGCCGAGTTCACATGCACGAGATTATCTTAAGACGATATATAATGTACTTATGAATACCGTATCTTCTTATAGGGTGCTTCCCTCGGAAGCCATATTGCTCTCTAGTTAATACCATCAATTTCGCACGGAAGAATTTCTTAGATGCATTTGCTCGGTATCGCCATAGACACAGGGAAGCGAGCTAAGCTATGGTTAGATATAGTAGATGCGTATTCCGACAAATGAAACAAGAACGAACAAAGAACCATGTAACTGTTTCTATGAGAATCTACAGGATGTTTCGGTAATCGTAATACAATCGGCTGGAAGGTGATTATATGGGAAAAAATAAGTCCAAGACATAGAAGAAGAATTTTTTTATATGGCGTCTCGTTTTCGAGATCGAGTTTGGAAATTTGTTGAAGATTAATATACGCGTGTTATTGAATTACGATAATTGCAACGAAGATTAATATTATTCGAACAAACTTCGTTCCTTTTGACGAGTAGAAGTTACATAATTATGTATATCCAATTTACATGACTAGTGTCACTGTCTATCACGCCACCGAGTTAAATAGCCTATTTTGAAATGTAGGTCGCTTATAAATTGTTTACAACCAAATTTGCTGAATTACAAGGCGAATTACTTAACTTGAGTCGAATATCCTTCCAACTATCATCCAAATACCTTCCAATAGTTCTGTTTCATTCTATCTGACTACGCTGAAGTATTTGTCACGACAGTTTGTCTACAGGTATCCATAGTAGTGTAGTCTTAAGATATCGACTCTGCCCTGTTTCCTTTTAGACTCATGATTTTAAGATTTAAGACGCATGATTTTCTGTCTTTCTGAGACCCGTTATACACACGCATGCATGCAGATGCGAGGGGGGTAAAAAACGGCGCACTTTATTTTCGTTTCCCGATAGTGTCGAGTTTGCAGCGGCTGCCGGCAATGCCGCTTTAATGCACTTCCACTCTTGTATTCGTGACTAAGCTGTGCCTATTTCACTAGAGGTTTTTCCGCTCTACGCCGGTATGAAGGTACATTCAATGTTCCCACGAACTGCAAGCTGTACGTTTCTATGTACCTTCGTTAAGCGGATGGACTGCACACGGCGTGGCTTTATTCATGGTCGTTCCCTATATCAGCGACACGATTATTTTCACGTATCAATGGTACCTGATATAACATTTTCCCGACAGACGTGTATTTTATTACATACGATAAAATTCGTGTTTCCATTACAGTGAGGTTGGAAGGCCGGTACGATGAAAGAAATGCGCAGATGGCTGGTACCAGGTATTTGTACGAAAAGTTGAATAAAACCGCATTAATCATTTCAAGACGTTGAAAAATGGAAATATTTATAGCGATGGAATGAATAAAACGCGATTAAAATGGGTTCTCACCTTTTCTATTATGCATACGAGGTTTATAATGGATCCTACGTCCACGTGATGTTCACCGCTTCCTAATATAAATGCTTCTGGTATAACTATGTTTAGATTGACAAAGTGTGATAGTATCCCTGTACTCCTCGCGACCTGTAAAGAGAAATAAACAACGCTATATTACAATCAATGCGATACAAAAGATATACGTGTACATAAAGAATATTTTTGGGTATGTGTATCGATATTCGTTTTCATATAAGACTCTCGAATCTATAGTATAATAGCCTGCATTAAGTGTTTCGCACTTTACGTTTATAAAAGGCACATTCATTTCAGTCTAGTAATTTGTTCCTAACGATCTAAGGCTGACCTAAGTTATTTTGTATCATTTTTTAGCAATTTCCGTTGAGCATAATGAAGGAGGAAAGGATAGAAAAGGAAGAGAAGAGAAAAAGAAGGAGAAGCGTTTAAAATTTGAAATGACTTGTTTAAAGCAAAATTGTTCTCGAGAAACTAATCGATGTAGACTCTTGTCTAGCTCTAGTACCATTCTACTTAACATAGTTTATATCTTGTATATTTACTGTCTATAAATATTTTAATACTTGACAACATTCATTCAAATATCAGTTACATTTGAAAGAATGTTTCTCTACTGTTGATTGTTTAGCTCTTGTCATAGCTCCTTGTCTTGTCTTGGAATTAAGTACTGTTCTACTAAAGTTACAGCGAAATAAGGAACATTACTCAAATTTAATGTTTATTTGCGATGAATAGCTGACACTTCATAAAATCTATATAAACTTGGAGAATGTGGCTGGAGACACGTATTTCGATCGCTCTAACACCCACATTTAAAGTCACTCAACTTGGGTATCTCGACGGGATTAATTTTATATTAGACTTAAATTATATTGCATTTTTATCTATACTAATTAATATGATATCTTCTAACTTATATGAGTGTCTGAGATACGATCAGAGAGCAAAACTACATTAAAGAGTTTCACTTCAAGTAGGTACATTTTATGTATTTGCAAGTATATCATGCACGAACTTTTGCATAAATTTATTAGGCACTCCGTGTACTTCCTTAACTCAACTAATTTGATTGAACGAATTTTTAATTCAGGAAGAGTGTTTCACGAAAGTATTTGGACACCAATCACAGAAAACTTATGAATACATTGTGTTTTATACAAAACTTTTTGAAATTTTATTAGTACTGCAACGAGATGCGATTATCAATATAAAATTTAAAATAAAAATGTATACATAAGTTACTTATACTTCATAGAAGACATATACTTTGTAAAAGATTAGTATATGAGACGAACAATTTCTTGAATGTGTTGTTAATGCTAAAGATGGACCCACTAAATAGTTTACTAACATACTGAATAATTGGTTGACTTCAAATACTTTTCTCATCCCTGTGAAATATATATGTACGTATTTTCTTTAAATATATTATAGATTTTATATATATCTTCAGGTTCGTTTCAAATTTTACCAATAAAACCATGGCAGCGTTGTGTTACAGTGCTAATGAAATTTCAAATCGTTCCCTGTAACATTCATAATATATTCATATAGAGCAACGTGAATACGTCCCTCTTATTTGAACAAAATAATAAATGAACAGTAAAATTGTGGATATAATTCAATTTCGCAAAGAATAGAATCGAGTTAGTCTGGCTATCATAAAGTAAAAAAATAACAGGTTCATTTAAACATCTCATTTATCTGCTCTAGTGAATTTGCTTTCTCGAGGTCTCATTAAAATCGATTCGTTTCAAGGGGCACGATTACGTTGCAACAGCAACTAGAGAAGCTGCAACGTCGGTGAATCTGCTATAGAGTCTTTCGTTGAGGTATATAATTCGCCAGGTACCAGATAATGCGTATCGCGTTAATAATTGAATGGAAATCTCGAATAAAGATCTAAAGCACATTTTGAGAAGAAATGCTGTTTAAGTTGCACTGCATCATCCAACCACCTAATGTACTTTTTGTGTTCAACATTGTCTTCTGTCGAAATATCTACAAGCTGTGTGCATTAAAACGATCGATTGTAGAACCATACTCTACAGTAAAACTTTGTTTATATGAACTTCCATCTACAGCAGCCACATTTACGTACCAGTTAATTAGGCGCAAATACACTACATGCCCTACTATCTAATAGTGTTTTCATATGATTACAAAAACTCGATACTCTGAAAATGATATGTAGAACCTAATAAAAAGACACTACATCGCAAATTAAGAATATTCGCAAGTGGAAACTTACTTTTCGTAATCATTGAATTCGATTGAAATTTTAGTCATAACCCGATTGCATGAATTTTTACTGGTTGGATCTACTTATCTGAACGTAAGTTATTATATGAAAAATTATAAATGATACACACAATGAATGAGATCCTATTACATGAACTGTTTGTCTCCTGACAAGTTTCTATAAATCTGAGTAATTCTATCGTACTGTTAATTCAACTTTTAGCAAAACGTGCTATACATTCATACTCGAGGTTTCCATACAATTCAAGATAGCCGATTAAATCAATTTCACCCCAAAATTAGAGGATGATTAGTCTAATAACTACCTGACACTCGTAGGTCCCATTGTCTCTGTCCTGAACATACTTGATCTGAAGAGTCCAGTCGTCCGAGCCTTCGGGATGCAAAACTTGAAACCGCTCGTCGTTCGTATACGTGAACGTGGAGCTGGTCAGGACGTGGAAGTCACGTCGTCGTATCCAGGATATCTGTGGAACAGGTGCGCGATCGTCGGTCAATTTTCTTGCTCTATGGCGTACCAATGACAAAGTACAGTTCATGTTCTTCAGGGTTAAAGACGACGATAACAGCTGCAGAGTCACTCACCTCAGCGTCGGATACCGTTCTATCTGCCAAATTTCGAACTTTGCAATGCAAAAACGCGGTTCCACCCAACTGCACCGTGACGTTCGAGACGGTGTTGTTATCGTTCGCATCATTTACTCTTTGCAGATCGTCCAGGTTACTGAACCACAACGCCTTCCAGTCTGCCGGTATGCTGTAAGGAACGCGTCGATCTGAAACATTTTGCAAAAATTTTGTCAATGCTTCGATTCAACGATTTCTTGAAGAAAAAAAATGTGCTTCTAGTTGCTCGATAATCGAATTTTATCGGAGCATACAGTGATTCGCGAAAAGTTTTGAAATTTCATTATTAGTATTGTATGTAGTATTGTATCCTAATTGTTATACCGGGGATTTTTATGTAAATTTATATCTTTACGGACAGAATTAAGAGATAGAACTACATAAGAATAAGAATCAAGAAATGAGAATAATAAGAATCTTCACTAAGAACAGAATTAAGAAATGGAAATATTAGGTTGTCCGAAATGTTTCTTTCGTTTTATAAGGAAATAATAGGCGCACAATGTTTTTTGTTTTATATTAGTTTATTGAATTATGCACGAATATAATAATAGAAACAGAACGAAATGGATCACACATAATTCAATAAAATAATATAAAACAGAAATTGTTGTTCATCTATTATCACCTCATGAAACTTTTCAGACAACCTAATATAATAGAACTTAAATAGAGGCTCGCTTTATTATTAAAAATTATAACAACGAGTCTCTATATTCTCTAGTCTGCATATTTTATATATTTTGTATATTAAAAAATTAATATGCAGCTTGAACAGTAGTCTTAAGCATATAATTAATGCTGAAGGTAGTAAAAAATAATGTGGTCTACTAGCATAATGAACGTATATGTAATATAATAATTGTACAATAAAACGTAACAACATAACATAATAGCGTAACATAATAATTGACTATTCAAATGTTTCGGTGATTACTACGAAGAATTGTATATGCATCCAGACTTTACGTTTATCTTGACAACGCTTGGTAGTATTATATGAGGAGAATTGTTCGAGAGTTTACGTAGTGCGAGGAACGTGTTGTGTTTAGAAAAGCGAACGCCAAAGGAAAAAGCTTTTGGGGATCGTAGAGCGGAAATGAATAGATGGATCAGATTGTCAACGTGAGATTTCAAGCCGAATATCTCGCGTGTTGTTCTATAACGCTTTGTACCTAGGGATGCTAGGTACTTTAGTTAAGATTAAACTAAATAATTAGAAAGCATCTAACTCTTGGTAAATAAACTACGAAATTCCATTCTTGAACTTGTCTGCTTCGAATTTTGATTTGTATTTAAAAAATGTCTAATATTTGACTTGATCCCAGAACAGCAAAAGTTTGATCATTTCCAACATATTTTCTAAACTATATCTACGTATTATTACTCTGAGAAATTATATAATAAACGTTATTAAAAAAAAAAAAAATAAAATTGGACTAACACCCTATCACATTTAATATAATAAAATTATATCACAATTACATCATAATTTTAAAAATTCCTTTCTTTTTACTTTATAAAATGAAACGATTTCAATCCTCTGCCAGACGAGGATTAACAAATGAATGTATAATGCAGTAGAGACGTTGATGAGTAGCCAGAGAAAGGAAAAGGAAATTCAGAAATTCAGTCTGAAAAAGTATAAAGCACTTTCAACTTAATCATAAATCACCAAATTTGCCCACAGAAAGTGCAAAAAGACATCTATTCACAGAAGGTTGCTAAACGACTGTTCGTCATTAATTCGTCGAATACTATAAATATTTGACTCAAAATGCTAAAGACACAACCGCTAAGAAATACAAACTCAATACCTTTTATATACCATGATTCGAAACATAATTTCGCTTCAGTGATACAACATCATTTCTCCGCGATCTTAATATTAATTAATTAATTATGTTTGTCTGAGTTAAATATAAGCAGTTCGCGGAAAGAAGCGCATTCGAGGAAGAAGTTTAACAGTTAAAGAGGCGGCGTAGAGATATGGATAGGCGACGGAGACAAGCATCGGGTAATTCGAAAGTAACTGTGGTGCTTTGGCAAAGGGAATAGCGGAGAATAAGGAAACCCGATGAAGCGAAGTTGGTGTTGGTGAATATAGAAATCCGTAAATGGAAAGGGAGAAAATTGAGGAACGGAAGAGCAGGCGAAAGCAGAGAGGAGGAGAGGACGAGGATGGAAGAAGAAGGTGATGGAAGGGTCTAGGCGAAAGACAAGCACTTGAGACTGAACTTTGTGAGCTTTTGAATGCAGGGCATAAGCTACCTGCCTTTTGTTTCCATGAGACAATGCGAAACCTTATACAACGAGACAAGAAGCCGAGTCTACGAGGGAAAGGTGCTCCTACTTTGCTCCGACCAGTTAGTTGGGCAGGATTGTATTCTTTTCTTTCTTCTTTAAGAATTCTCAATTCATAGCCACTTTTGAGTAGAGAGCAAGTGCACGCTAGAGAGGATTTTTCGTGGGGTTAGCGTATTTTCCGCTATATTTCCTCTCTTCTCTCCCTTATTTTCGCGTTACCTTCTCCTTCTTTCTGTTTCTCTTTTCCCAGAAGATCTGATGTCTCCTTTTGTCGCGCGGGGGCATTTATTTATTGCACACCGGGGATATAAGCTTTATCTAATGCATACTTAATAGTATTAAAGTCCGCTCCACGTACTTGGCTCCTTGCACGAACGGATTTTGAATGCAGACTCGTACAGATTAGGATGTATGGAGGTGCTCGAGGAATCGAGGAGGAACTCCGCTTCTGGGATTTGATGGGAAGCATAATTCCTGGCAATGAAGTTTCGATAAATGTTTTATCCAACAGTCGGACAATTATACGGGTTAATACGTTTTCCACCTAGTTAATACCTCTTCCACTCCTTGTTTCCTGCCTCCGCATTTCCGTAAAATACATTTTCTGTCGTTCAGGGTAAATGTTTTCTTCAGAATAATTATGACCGAGATAAATCGTGCAGTGCAGGCAAGGACATAGCAATGTCGTAAACTAAAGTATCGAGTAGAGATAGTAGCTATTATTTTAGGGGGCGCCTAAATGCATTCTGTTTTAGGATTTCGCGCGATAAAAAGAAATAATTTATAGCTGACGGTATTTCATTTACAAATTGAAATCCATAACCGTTAATTACTGCTTTAACAAACTGGACTCGATTTATAATTGTTTGTAGAAATGATAAAGTAGTTAGAAAAACTGTCTCAAGCTTGTTTAGAGTTTGAAAGAATATTTTAAATCACGCAAAGTGAAATGTTTATATTGATAAAAAGTTTTGAAACTATGTACGTGAATTGAACTTGACTAAAGACTCGTTCAGATTAGTTAAATCTCTTGGATTGAAGTCGTTTGAGTCAAATGGATATTTAATGGAAAATGATATCCAAAGGAAGTGGTTGTGTACGTGTACCAAATGTTAATTCTGATATTAACTACAATTACGACCATATTAAAAATACATACATACAATCTAGCCAAACACGAAGTTCAGGAAAAGATTGTTTTGAGCCAATATCAGTAAACAAATGTGACAAACAAAAACACAGGGATAAAAGGTTTACAAGTTATCTGAATCAATCTGAATTAAACTCAATTAGAACAAAGAAGCCTGAAACGATATTTCAAGTCAAGTAAACGACAGTCACGCTGGTAAATAGGTTTCTTGAATACAGGTAGCTCCACTAATCTGAACGATGCGATGTTCCCCCATATTTCTGTCAATTCCTTTGTCTCGACGGCCGAAACACGATGGCTTTCACTACTGACAGACTTTACGATCTCGCTATATCATGGCCCGTGCCGTATCTCACGAATCAACCGATCATTAATTAAATCGCCTAACTAGATTGTACTCGAACCTCGGAGCATTTGCTGGAATTAAACTAGGAAAGCCAGAATTGCATCGGGGTAAAACGGATGCCAAGAAGTACAAAAGATCCTTATATCCAGGCTGGGAAATACAAGAGAAAGGAGGGAAGAAACGAGAGAGCCAGGGAAGGTTAAATGCTCCGAGAAAATTATTTACCTTTATCGAGCGACCTGGCCAGGAGAATTGTCGGCAGGATCAAAAAGACCATGTACCACGATAGCCGGTCCCGCATCCTTGCGAGGTTTCGAATCCTCCTGGAAAAAGGCAAAAAAGAAGACGAATAAGCTTGGTTTCTCGGTTATAAAGCAGGAATTCGTATGCGTCCGTCCCATCTTCAATGGCCTCTTTGTTTTTCTGATTTTTCCGGGACAGTGCGCGTTCGTACCTAAATCGTCTTTTAAAGGAAAGCACGAAAGTTGTAGATCCGCGTATTCTCCTCTCCTCCCCTCCACCCTACCACCCCCTTTTTATGCTCTGTTTTCACGTGTTTCGTATGCATTTGAAACGCGAAACAACTTATGTCTGATTTATAACAAATTGCCTTCGTTTCGTATGGCATCCATGAAAAGGTCGTGGAGAAGCGATCCAAAGCTGGGTGCCGCGCGCCGCTTTTCAACGATTTGCATATTAAAAGACCGCGGATCCTTTTGATATGGCGAATTTTAATTCTGCTCGGCATCCTTACTCTTGTTTTCCCTTTCCAACTTCTCTTACCGTCTCCATAATGTTTTTTTTTTTTTTTAATTTGCGTTAGAATAAAATCAAACGGAGAAAAAAGAAAAGGAAAGGGAAGTATGCAATTTCAAAGACGATTAAAGAATACTTTTTTAGACTTCAACATTTGTCTGCGGGTGATTTGGTTATTGTTGTTACGACGATCGAATATGTTATTTTAGTGATAAAGAGAAGAGATATACAGAAAGAAATTTTTTAATTATCATATAATTTTACTGTATTAAATGTAGTTATATATATATGTAAAGTGTACACCAGAAAAGCAGGATAAGTTTATTTCATATATTCAATACTATTGGTATTTCATATTATTGAATTTTAAAAATTCGCTAAACATTTTTTTCGTTACTTTTTTCTTCTATCTATTTAACACAATAATTTACTTTATTTATGTTTTATAATGATTACACTGCAAATTTATAGTTCTATAAACACTGCTACTAAAGACACAGAACCTTAGCAAATTTGTTTCACTAATTAAATATGTATTATAACAATTACTCTATATTGAATATTTTATATATTTTTACAAATTATGCGCACTATGTGCCTCGTTACATCTTTAAACTCTTCATTTATTCAACATTTACACGTTATTACATATTATTACATATTAATTTGCTGTTTCACACGGTCTTTGATGGTTAAAACAAAACATATTCTTATGGCAATGTCGTAAATAATTTACAATAATTGTTTATAAAGAGAATATTTCTTTGTAAAATATCTTGATCTCGGTTTGTTTACATTTTGCATGTTCGTCGATGTATATCCGGCAAATTAAACACTTCGCGGAGATATACAAGCAATTCCAATTCTCGTGTTCTGCACATTTTCAATTATTCCGTCATAACGTTTATCAAGTTCGCGATACACTCGGAATTCCACGAATCTCGATTGACCCGTATGTTCCATCGTTTTTCCCTTAATTTTGCTCCTATTAAGAACGTATCAAAGTCATTTCCTGTTCAAACGTTAACGAAGAGATTAATTCTTCGATGGTTACGCTGCTATGTTGGATAACACGTCATTATTTGTCAATGCACGTGCTGATTAAACTGTCCACGTGGCGGAAATAGAAACATACACTTATTTCTTGCGGTCGATCGCCGGCAGTCGCGTTAATTGGCCTGTTAAAGCTCCGTTCGTCTGGCTGCACAGAACAAGAATCGTTTTACGGCTAATAAAACGGGACGAATGCAGATAGTTGTGATAAATCGGGCAAACGGGGTGCCTTTATCGCGAGAGGATCGTTCGCGTTAATGTCTAACGGCGCGTTTTCCATCCTTCTTTCACATCCTACCCGCTCTTCCCTGTCCTCTCTGCTTTTCATCCCATCTAAGCGCTGCGTTCCACGATCCGGATTACACCATAAAAATCTATTGTTCGAATTTTTGCGTAGTGCCATCGTAATTTCATATGATACGGGATGTAAAGTTCAGCTACGGCAAAGAGTGTATCGGAAAAACCAACAAAAAAAAAAAAAAAAAAAAAAAAAAAAAAAAAAAAAAAAAAAAAAAAAAAAAAAAAAAAAAAAAAAAAAAAAAAAAAAAAAAAAAAAAAAAAAAAAAAAAAAAAAAAAAAAAAAAAAAAAAAAAAAAAAAAAAAAAAAAAAAAAAAAAAAAAAAAAAAAAAAAAAAAAAAAAAAAAAAAAAAAAAAAAAAAAAAAAAAAAAAAAAAAAAAAAAAAAAAAAAAAAAAAAAAAAAAAAAAAAAAAAAAAAAAAAAAAAAAAAAAAAAAAAAAAAAAAAAAAAAAAAAAAAAAAAAAAAAAAAAAAAAAAAAAAAAAAAAAAAAAAAAAAAAAAAAAAAAAAAAAAAAAAAAAAAAAAAAAAAAAAAAAAAAAAAAAAAAAAAAAAAAAAAAAAAAAAAAAAAAAAAAAAAAAAAAAAAAAAAAAAAAAAAAAAAAAAAAAAAAAAAAAAAAAAAAAAAAAAAAAAAAAAAAAAAAAAAATGGAAAAAAAAAAAAAGGAGAGAAAGGAAAGGGAAAGGAGTTAGAGTTGAAATAAAGGTAAAACGTTTTAAAAGCGCTAAAATTGTTCGACGTTTATTTTTATTTGCCATGCACGTACACGGTATAAAACGGCGAAATATTTTCACAAGGAAATGTTTATTACACGCATATCCGCGAATATTGATTTCGCCGCAGTAAAAACGGCAGAATTCGGGTTCTCGGCGAAGCGGAATTAAAAATGGGACAGGAGGTAGAGGAATTAGCTGCGATCGTTTCCGCAAATATTGGTCGAAAGGAAATGCTCTTCACGCGGTTAAACGTGCGATACCCTATGATTTACCGTTCAACGATGGTAAAATTGTTATTAGAGCAGGCACCGGCTATGGTAGGGACCAAAAATAAAGAACGCGGAGAGTAGCCATTACAGATAAACCGAATTTGCATTTATCCGGCATCGCCGTCGTTTCATTTAACGCGGTTATCTAATAATTTCCGCGCACGCGTCCGCCACCATCGCCATTTAATATGCATCAAGACACATACTCGCGTCCCGTAATTACATAAAAAATGCAATCGGCCACGGTTCCACGCTGCGGAAGTTACTCAGGGTAATTCGTTACAGCCTGGCATCGACGAAAAACGAAAAGGTAAACGCGAATCCGCGGAAAAAGTAAAACTGATATCGAACATTAATACCGTAAGGTTATACTCAATTTTCACACACACAAGTACACATATACATGTATAAGAACGTTTGAGTAATTTCGTGGAAACGAAAGGTAGCTGAAAATTCAGCGGTATCATTCGTAATCGTACGCGATGTTTTCAAAACGATTGCTGCTTGAAAACGTAGTAAACAATGGTAACATGGACCAGTTAACATGGAACTTTAGTTGTATTAAGTAGACGTGGACCATTAAAAAGGCGGAAAGTCGATAGGTTATAAACGCGTCCCTCCGTTTTACAATTCTGTCGCGCGTTTAGAGCCGCAGGGTTGATTTCCTATATCTACATTCGAAGAGGGCACGGGATACTCCGAGCTGGATTCTCTTCTCCGTTGGCAATCGTTATCCGAGATTTATTGTTTCCCGACGATGGCTGGGTCACGGAATCGGGTTCATTCTCCGCTTTGCCCTTCTCTGAGGGTTTCCATTCAAGCGGCGCTGCTTTGCATAAATTTCCGTGCAGATGCGACGCGATATCAGATCGACGTTGTGATAGAAATAGCATACATACATATACATACATACATATATATATATATATATATATATATATATATATATATATTTATACACGTATATACATACATATACATATAGATAGAGATAGAATATAGACACATGCATATACACACGTGACAAGCTACATACGTAACGCGTATGCGTAGGTATTATTGATTCGTTGCCAATATAATGTGCTCTGATACAGGTCAAGCTAACCAGTACATATACACCGGTGCTATAAGCTAAGTAGCTGGTCCACCTTTGCCACGGCGATCGTTCTAGATGGCAATTGGCTAGTTACAATAGCTTAGGACCCGGCACACGGCCCGTATAAGCGGTAAATGCACCGCTGATGAAACAGTTGTATGGCACGTACGTACACGCCTTGGTACGCCCGGTTAATGGAAACCTTTCCTTTGCCACATCGATCGATAAATGGGTCTGCAGAGTGCAGTTGTAAAGAGTTAGCATGCCGCTCGCATGTGGCGTCTGCCAATGCTTCTTACGTATGCATGGAATCGGGCTAAGATTAGGGGGCTCGAGCCAGACCAGGCGAAAACCCCTGGCAGAATTAAAGTGCGACCAGTGTTTATTGCAACAGACTTCGTTGCCGCCTGATATGCAGCAAGAATACGGAACCGGCCGGAATTAGCCGCCGTTCTGATCCTTCCTGCCCGGAAATGTTGCATTAACCCCCAGCCAGCGTGAAACCGATCGTTTTCGTGTTCTCCGGTTCCACTGTGAAGAACGGAAAGTTATATACCGAAATTAGCTGCGTGCGAGGGTATCAAGGGAGAACACGAACAGGCAATTGCTCTTTGTAGGGTAATTAGGTCGAGAAGAACCGTCAGCAGAGATGGACCACGTCTCTTTCGTGCTGTAATTTAGTAGCTGGTGATATTCAACGAGTGGCAGGTTGTGTGTTGTGTGACGAGTAGATTGAGGAGTTTTGTGCATTTATGCGAAATTTCAAGATACGAAAGTGCACCGAATAGATATAACACACGAATATAACGAATACATGTGTTAAAGGAAATAGATAAACTATCAAATACGATATTCAATTTGAGTATAAGTTTCAGACGTTTTTAAAAACAAGGATCATTTCTCTTCAATTATCCTACATTTTCGATCGTCATAAATATCTGTATCTCCTAGTTAGAATTCAAAGCATTCACATTAATTCATTTGTTTTTAAACATCATCTTCCTAACTTATTTATTTTATTTCACGTTAGAAATTCTCTTAAACATAATGGATAATATAATATCATAACTTAAGCGACGGATATCAGTATCGATGCTTTTTAAATCGAATCTTCGATCGTCACGTAACAAGTGTG